ACCAATCCACTCACCCACCAACCCACTCACCCACCAACCCACTCACCCACCAATCCACTCACCCACTCACCCACCAATCCACTCACCCACCAATCCACTCACCCACCCACTCACTAATTCAGCAGTGGATAGACCCTGGATGATTGACAGTGAAAATGTTTTGGAGGGGGGAAAAAACCTCTGAGCTGGCACGGCTCCTGGGACGTCGCGTGCCACTTCCGGTTTGGGACCGGAAGTAGTACGTCACGGCAGTGTATGCTACAGTATATATAGACTGTACGTCACTGCTACAGTATGTGGACTGTACGTCACTGCTACAGTATGTGAACTGTACGTCGCTGTTACAGTATGTGGACTGTACGGCACAGTCACAGAATGAGTACTGTACATCACTGTCACCGCGGGCTACTGTACATAGCTGATACAGTAGTTGTACTGCGCATTGCCGGTACAGTATACGCACTGTACATCGCCGCCACAACAGATGTACTGTACACCGCTGCTACAATATTGTACTGCACATCACGGCTACAGTATTGCACTGTACACCGATGGTACAGTAGGTGTGCTGTGTATCCCTGCCACGGTTAGTATACTGTACATCGCTGCTACAGTATGCGTACTGTGCGCCGCTGTTACAATATATGTACTGTATGTCGCTGCTACAGCAGGTATACTGTATGCCGCTGCAACAGTAGGTATACCATGTCGCTGCTACAGTAGGTATACTGTATATCGCTGCTACAGAATGTGTACTGTATATCACTTACATTATGCGTACTGTATATCGCTCCAACCGCATGTGCATACTGTACATCGCTGCTACAGTGTTGTACTGTATACCACTGCCACAACATGCAACTGTACATCACTGCCACAGTACTGTACTGTATATCACTGCCACAGTATGTGTACTGTATATCGCTGTTACAATATGTGTGCTGTATATCACTGTTACAGTATGTGTACTGTATATCGCTGTCACAGTATGCGTACTGTATATCACTTACAGTATGTGTACTGTGTATCGCTGATACAGTTGGTGTGCTGCATATCGCAGCTACAGTATTGTACTGTATATCGCTGACACAGTAGATGTACTGTATATCACGGGGATACAGTAGGAGTGCTGTGCATCGCTGCCGCATTGTGTACTGTACGCCGCTGTTACGGTATGTGTACTGTATCTCACTGCTACAGTAGGCATACTGTACATCGCTGCTACAGTATACAATATACAGACTTATGTACATCAGTATGGACTATACACACTGCTACAGTATATACAGACTATGTACAGTATGTAGTCACTCTTACTGTATGCATAGACTACATCAATACAGTATATATAGACTGTATGTACAGTGTAACATTGCTGGACTAATATACATAATTTATGCGTTATGGACTGGACATAACTGCAGTAAATATAATGACTGTACATGATCACAGTTTGCATAGTTGTGTATATTCTATGTTAGATATATAAGTCTATAGAGACTATATCACTACAGTTCGCAGGAGTGATACAGTCTAAAGAGACCCACAGAGACCCATACTCATAGAGACACACAGAGACCCACAGAGACCCATACTCATAGAGACCCACACAGACCTACAGAGACCCATACTCATAGAGACCCACACAGACCCACAGAGACCCATATTCATAGAGACCCACACAGACCCACAGAGACCCATATTCATAGAGACCCACACAGACCTACAGAGACCCATACTCATAGAGACCCACACAGACCCACAGAGACCCATATTCATAGAGACCCACACAGACCTACAGAGACCCATACTCATAGAGACCCACACAGACCCACAGAGACCCCTACTCATAGAGACCCACACAGACCTACAGAGACCCATACTCATAGAGACCCACACAGACCCACAGAGACCCATATTCATAGAGACCCACACAGACCTACAGAGACCCATACTCATAGAGACCCACACAGACCCACAGAGACCCATATTCATAGAGACCCACACAGACCTACAGAGACCCATACTCATAGAGACCCACACAGACCCACAGAGACCCATATTCATAGAGACCCACACAGACCTACAGAGACCCATACTTATAGAGACCCACACAGACCCACAGAGACCCATAGAGACCCACACAGACCCACAGAGACCCATACTCATAGAGACCCACACAGACCCACAGAGACCCATACTCATAGAGACCCACACAGACCCACAGAGACCCATAGAGACCCACACAGACCCACAGAGACCCATAGAGACCCACACAGACCCACAGAGACCCATACTCATAGAGACCCATAGACACCCACAGAGACCCATACTCATAGAGACCCATACAGACCCATAGAGACCCATACACAGAGACCCATACTCACAGAAACCCACAGAGACTCACAGAGACCCACAGAGACTCACAGAGACCCACAGAGCCCCATAGACACCCACAGAGACCCACAGAGACTCACAGAGCCCCACACTAAAACTAAACTAAGTTAATGTCACCAGGTGTAAGACCCGACTCAGCTGCTGTGTTGATATTTTTTTTTATCAGAAGCGAGCTGGGCCATCACTCATGACAGCAGCTCAGCCACGTGGCTGATATCATCATCATCGTCATCACCACGTGACTGATATCATCATCATCACCATCACGTGGTCATTGATAGCAGCAGACAAAGACTCTGAACTCGTGATTCTAAACGTGAGAGGGGAAAAACCGCAGGACCCGGAGTGATAAAATCCACGCAGCGACCACCACGGGGAGAGAGACGCAGACTCCAAATACACAGCAGCAGCAGGGTCTGGGATGGAACCCACGACCTCCTGTAGACCACTTACTCGGTTATTCAGTCTCCCACCCACTGACCCACCTAATGACTCACTCACCCACTCACTCACTCAACAACTCACCCACCCAACCACCCACCCACTCACCCACCCACTCCGTCATTCAGTCATCCACACACTCACCCACTCATTTACCCACCCACTCATTCACCAACCCACCCACCCACTCACCCACTCACTCATTCACCCACTCACTCATTCACTCACTCATTCACCCACTCACCCACCCACCCACTCACCCACCCACTCACCCACTCATTCACCCACCCACCCACTCGCCCACCCACCCACTCATCCACCCATTCACCCACCCACCCACTCACCCACCCACCCATTCACCCACTCACCCACCCACTCACCCACCCACCCACTCACCCACCCACTCATTCACCCACCCATTCACCCACCCACCCACTCGCCCACCCACCCACTCATCCACCCATTCACCCACCCACCCACTCACCCACTCACTCACCCACCCACTCATTCACCCACTCACCCACCCACTCACCCACCCACCCACTCAACCACCCACTCATTCACCCACCCACTCGCCCACCCACCCACTCATCCACCCACCCACTCACCCACTCACTCACCCACCCACCCATTCACCCACTCACCCACCCACTCACCCACCCACCCACCCACTCACCCACTCACCCACCCACCCACCCATTCACTCACTCACCCACTCACCCACCCACCCACCCACCCACTCACCCACCCACCCACTCACTCACCCACCCACCCACCCACTCACCCACTCACCCACCCACCCACTCACTCACTCACTCACCCACTCACTCACTCACCCACCCACTCACTCACTCACCCACTCACTCACTCACCCACCCACCCACTCACTCACTCACTCACCCACTCACTCACCCACTCACCCACTCACCCACCCACCCACTCACCCACCCACCCACTCACTCACTCACCCACCCACTCACCCACCAACCCACCCACTGGTTTGTCCCCCCACCGCCAGGGCCCTACAAGGCCTGCGGATCTCCTCCAACACCCAAGGGGACCGGTCTACGCCTTCCATACTCAACCACCCACCAACCCTACCAACTACCCACCCTACTAACCACCCACCAACCCTACCAACTACCCACCCTACGAACTACCCACCCTACTAACTTCTCACCCTACTAACTACCCACCCTACTAACTACCCACCCTACTAACTACCCACCCTACTAACTACCCACCCACCCTACTAACTACCCACACACCCTACTAACTACCCACCCTACTAACTACCCACCCACCCTACTAACTACCCACCCACCCTACTAACTACCCACCCTACTAACTACCCACCCACCCTACTAACTTCTCACCCACCCTACTAACTACCCACCCACCCTACTAACTACCCACCCTACTAACTACCCACCCACCCTACCAACTACCCACCCACCCTACTAACTACCCACACACCCTACTAACTTATCACCAACCCTACTAACTACCCACCCACTCTACTAACTACCCACCCTACTAACTACCCACCAACCCTACTAACTACCCACCCACCCTACTAACTACCCACCCTACTAACTACCAACCCTACTAACTACCCACCAACCCTACTAACTACCCACCCTACTAACCATCCACCCACCCACCCTACTAACTTCTCACCCACCCTACTAACTACCCACCCACCCTACTAACTACCCACCCTACTAACCATCCACCCACCCACCCTACTAACTACCCACCCTACTAACTACCCACCCTACCAACTACCCACCAACCCTACTACCTACCCACCCTACTAACTACCCACCCTACCAACTACCCACCAACCCTACTACCTACCCACCCTACCAACTACCCACCCTACTAACTACCCACCCTACTAACTACCTACCCACCCTACTAACTACCTACCCACCCACCCTACTAACTACCCACCCTACTAACTACCCACCCTACTAACTACCTACCCACCCTACTAACTACCTACCCACCCACCCTACTAACTACCCACCCTACTAACTATCCACCCTACTAACTACCCACCCTACTAACCATCCACCCACCCACCCTACTAACTACCCACCCACCCTACCAACTACCCACCCTACTAACTACCCACCCACCCTACTAACCCACCCACCCACCCAGCCCCCCACCCCACCCACCGACCGGCCCACCAACGCCACCATGATGCATCTGAGGAGTGCGCGCTCCTCCGCCGGCTCTCGCGTGCCGGTGGGTCCGGTGCTGGCGGCTGCGCTGGCGCTGGCCGAGTTGGTGTGCGCCTGCGTGCTGTGCGCCTGCGAGTATCACCACGGCCACCACGGCCACCACGGCCACCACGGCCACCACGGCCACCACGGCCACCACGACGGAGGCGGTGGCTCGCCGCAGACGCCGCCGCCTCGTCCTGACTGGGCACAGGGACTGCCGCCGGAGTACGCCGGCAATGGAGGTGGGTGGGGTGGGTGGGGTGGGGTGGGGTGGGTGGGGTGGGTGGGTGAGTGAGTGAGTGGGTGAGTGAGTGAGTGGGTGAGTGAGTGTGTGAATGGGTGAGTGAGTGCGTGGATGGGTGGGTGGGTGGGTGAGTGGGTGGGTGCGTGGATGGGTGGGTGGGTGGGTGAGCGAGTGGGTGGGTGAGCGAGTGGGTGGGTGAGCGAGTGGGTGGGTGAGTGAGTGTGTGAATGGGTGAGTGAGTGTGTGAATGGGTGAGTGGGTGGGTGAGTGGGTGGGTGGGTGGGTGAGTGGGTGGGTGGGTGGGTGAGTGGGTGGGTGAGTGAGTGAGTGAGTCGGTGAGCGAGTGGGTGGGTGGGTGGGTGAGTGTGTGAATGGGTGAGTGCGTGGATGGGTGGGTGGGTGGGTGGGTGAGTGGGTGGGTGGGTGGGTGAGTGGGTGGGTGGGTGGGTGAGTGGGTGGGTGGGTGGGTGAGTGGGTGGGTGGGTGGGTGGGTGGGTGGGTGGGTGGGTGGGTGAGTGGGTGGGTGGGTGGGTGAGTGGGTGGGTGAGTGAGTGTGTGAATGGGTGAGTGAGTGCGTGGATGGGTGGGTGGGTGAGTGGGTGGGTGGGTGGGTGGGTGAGTGGGTGGGTGAGTGAGTGAGTGAGTGGGTGAACGAGTGGGTGGGTGGGTGGGTGAGTGTGTGAATGGGTGAGTGAGTGCGTGGATGGGTGGGTGGGTGAGTGGGTGGGTGGGTGGGTGAGTGGGTGGGTGAGTGAGCGAGTGAGTGGGTGAGCGAGTGAGTGGGTGAGTGGGTGAGTGGGTGAATGGGTGGGTGGGTGGATGGGTGGGTGAGTGATTGGGTGGGTGAGTGGGTGGGTGGGTGAGCGGGTGGGTGGGCGGGTGAGCGGGTGGGTGGGTGGGTGATTGGCTGGGTGGGGATCACTGGACGGGTTCCGCAGGATTGGAAGGATGCCCTGGTGGTCCCCCTCTTTAAGAAGGGGGACCGCACAGACTGTAACAACTACAGGGGCATCTCACTCCTCAGTGTGCCGGGAAAGGTCCTGGCAAGGATTATTCAACATCGCCTTGCCAGGCACGCTGAGGAGAGGCTTGCGGAGCCCCAATGCAGTTTCAGGAAAGGGCGGTCCTGCACAGATGCCATATTTTCTGTCCGTCTGCTACAGCAGAGGTGTAGGGAATTCCAACAAGACCTACATCTCTGCTTTATTGACCTGGTCAAGGCCTATGATACCATCAGTAGGCCTGGGCTCTGGGTCGTTCTTCGTGCTTTTGGAGTACCTGATCCTCTGCTCACGATCATTAAGGACCTTCATGATGGTGAGAGGGCCCGGGTAAAACTACGTGGCCGGGAGTCAGAGCCATTCCCTGTACACCTTGGGGTGCGACAGAGATGTCCTCTGGCTGCCGCATTATTTAACATCTATTTATACCACGTAGTTTATGAAGCTTTTGATGGCTGTACCGGAGGAATTTCCATCTGGTACAAATACAATAGGAGGCTGATTGATGCCCGGGTGCTATCAAGGGATGGCTCCCTATTGCTCAACCACGTTATGTATGCCGATGACCTGGTAATAGCTGCTCATTCAGAGGAGGAGTTGGAGACGCTGCTGCTGAGACTGGAGTGTGCCACTAAGAGGTGGGGCCTTACCATCAGCCCCACCAAAACTAAGCACCTGCCTGGGTATTTTGTACCATCGGACACTCCACCCCCACAACTCCCAATCGGTGATGGGGCAGTTGTGGAGAGAGTGGAGAGTTTCCCATACCTGGGGAGTGTGCTTATGACTGGCTCCAGTTTAACAGCAGAGGTCTCACTCCGAATAAGTCGAGCGGCAATATCTTTTCATCGGTTGTGTAACGCTGTGTGGAAGCTACCTGGTCTGTCGCTCCGCACGAAGCTTCAGGTCTTCTCGGCCACGGTCATTCCCTCCCTTCTCTACGCTTGCGAAACGTGGACCCCCCTAATGGAACATCTTCGCCGGTTAGAAACATTTAGGCTGGCCTGCCTACGATCCATCCTGGGTTTAACCAGGCTGGATTGTGTGAGGAGCTCACAAATCCTTGAAAGATCTGGGCAAGGTCCCATCGGTGAGCTCCTCCGGCGGGCAAGGCTGCGATGGCTGGGTCATGTAGCCCGCATGCCCAGCCACCGCATGCCGAAACAGCTTTTGTTCGGCCGGATTGAGGGGGCTAAGCGGGCGCGGCACGGGCTAGAGAAGAGATGGAGTGATGTGGTACAGGAGGACGTGGAGCTGAGTGGACTTGCCGATGACTGGTACCAGCGGTGTCAAGATCGGCCTCTGTGGAGGAGGCTCGTGAAGGACGCTACTGGGCAGTTGGAGGCAGTCGCCCTCCAACAACAACGGAGGGCGGAGGAGCGACGCTCACAACAACGAGCGGAGCGCCGGGTGGCTAAAGCACAGCAGGTTGGCACAGTAGGGGGCACAGGTGGTGCACCAGCCAGTCATCTCAGTCAGTCGACCCGTGGCACCTGGGTCTGCCCCGTGACCTCCTGCCAGCGGGCGTTCGACACTTCACGTGGCCACAGGGTGCACATAGCCTGGCACAAGCGTCGTGGTGACTGTGTGCGTGTGACTGTGTGTCTGTGTGCGTGTGTCTGTGTGCGTGTGTCTGTCTGTGTGTGTGTCTGTGTGTGTCTGTCTGTGTGTGTGTCTGTGTGTGTGTGTGTGTCTCCCCCTCCCTCTCTCTCTCTCTGTGTCTGTGTGTGTGTCTGTGTGTGTCTGTGTGTGTGTGTCTCTCCCCCTCTCTCTCTCTGTGTCTGTGAAGGTGATGGTGGCGGTGACGGTGATGGAGGTGGTGGTGTGAGTCACCCGGCGTGGCTGGGCCTCACCCTCTCTCTCTCTCTGTGTCTGTGAAGGTGACGGTGGTGGTGGTGGCGGTGACGGTGGTGACGGTGGTGGTGGTGTGAGTCACCCGGCGTGGCTGGGCCTCACCCTCTCTCTCCCTGTGTCTGTGTGTGTGTCTGTGTGTGTGTGTGTCTGTGTGTGTGTCTGTGTGTGTGAAGGTGACGGTGATGGAGGTGGTGAGAGTGGCGTGAGTCACCCGGCGTGGCTGGGCCTCACCCTCTCTCTCTGTGTGTGTGTGTGAAGGTGACGGTGATGGAGGTGGTGGTGGTGTGAGTCACCCGGCGTGGCTGGGCCTCACCCTCACCCTCTCTCTCTCTCTGTGTGTCTCTGTGTGTCTGTGAAGGTGACGGTGACCGTGATGGAGGTGGTGAGAGTGGCGTGAGTCACCCGGCGTGGCTGGGCCTCACCCTCTCTCTCTCTGTGTGTCTGTGAAGGTGACGGTGATGGAGGAGGTGGTGATGGAGGTGGTGGTGGTGTGAGTCACCCGGCGTGGCTGGGCCTCACCCTCCTCTTTGCGTGTGTCTGTGAAGGTGACGGTGGTGATGGAGGTGGTGAGAGTGGCGTGAGTCACCCGGCGTGGCTGGGCCTCACCCTCTCTCTCTGTGTGTGTCTGTGAAGGTGACGGTGATGATGGAGGTGTGAGTCACCCGGCGTGGCTGGGCCTCACCCTCTCTCTGTGTGTGTCTGTGAAGGTGACGGTGATGATGGAGGTGTGAGTCACCCGGCGTGGCTGGGCCTCACCCTCTCTCTCTCTGTGTGTGTCTGTGAAGGTGACGGTGGTGATGGAGGTGGTGGTGTGAGTCACCCGGCGTGGCTGGGCCTCACCCTCTCTCTGTCTCTCTCTGTGTGTGTGTGTGTGAAGGTGACGGTGATGGAGGTGGTGATGACAGTGATGGTGGCGTGAGTCACCCGGCGTGGCTGGGCCTCACCCTCTCTCTGTCTCTCTCTGTGTGTGTGTGTCTGTGTGTGTGAAGGTGATGGAGGTGGTGACGGTGAGAGTGGTGGTGTGAGTCACCCGGCGTGGCTGGGCCTCACCCTCTCTCTCTGTGTGTGTCTGTGTGTCTGTGTGTGTCTGTGAAGGTGACGGTGATGACAGTGATGGTGGTGTGAGTCACCCGGCGTGGCTGGGCCTCACCCTCTCTCTCTGTGTGTCTGTGAAGGTGACGGTGGTGATGGAGGTGGTGGCGTGAGTCACCCGGCGTGGCTGGGCCTCACCCTCTCTGTGTCTGTGTCTCTGTGTGTGTGTGTGTGTCTGTGTGTGTGTCTGTGAAGGTGACGGTGATGGAGGTGTGAGTCACCTGGCGTGGCTGGGCCTCACCCTCTCTCTCTGTGTCTGTGTGTGTCTGTGTGTGTCTGTGTGTGTGTCTGTGTGTGTGAAGGTGACGGTGACGGTGGTGGTGGTGTGAGTCACCCGGCGTGGCTGGGCCTCACCCTCTCTCTCTGTGTGTGTGTGTGAAGGTGACGGTGATGGAGGAGGTGGTGATGGAGGTGTGAGTCACCCGGCGTGGCTGGGCCTCACCCTCCTCTTTGCGCTGCTCCCCCACGCGCTCGCACAGCTGGCGCTGGCGCACGCCCACAGGGACCTGGGCCGGGACCGGCCGCTCATGCTCATGCTGCACGCCATGCAGCTCGGTGGGGTCACCAGGTCAGTGGGGGGGAGGAGGGGGGGTGTGTGTGTGTGTGTCACTGTGTGTGTGTGTGTGTCTGTGTGTGTCTCTGTGTGTGTGTCTGTGTGTGTGTGTCTGTGTGTGTCTCTGTGTGTGTGTGTGTCTGTGTGTGTGTGTGTCTATGTGTGTGTGTGTCACTGTGTGTGTGTGTGTGTGTCTGTGTGTGTCTCTGTGTGTGTGTGTGTCTGTGTGTGTGTGTGTCTGTGTGTGTCTGTGTCTGTGTGTGTGTCTGTGTGTGTGTGTGTCTGTGTGTGTGTGTCTGTGTCTGTGTGTGTGTGTGTGTGTCTGTGTGTGTGTGTGTGTCTGTGTGTGTGTCTGTGTGTGTGTCTGTGTGTGTGTGTGTGTCTGTGTGTGTGTCTGTGTGTGTGTGTGTGTCTGTGTGTGTGTCTGTGTGTGTGTGTGTCTCTGTGTGTGTGTCTGTGTGTGTCTGTGTGTGTGTGTGTGTCTGTGTGTGTGTGTCTGTGTGTGTGTCTGTGTGTGTGTGTCTGTGTGTGTGTGTGTCTGTGTGTGTGTCTCTGTGTGTGTGTGTCTCTGTGTGTGTGTGTGTCTGTGTGTGTCTGTGTCTGTGTGTCTATGTCTGTGTGTGTGTGTCTGTGTGTGTGTCTGTGTGTGTGTGTGTGTGTCTGTGTGTGTGTGTGTGTGTCTGTCTGTGTGTGTATGTCTGTGTGTGTATGTCTGTGTGTGTCTGTGTGTGTCTGTGTGTGTCTGTGTGTGTGTGTGTCTATGTGTGTGTGTGTGTGTCTGTGTGTGTCTGTGTGTGTGTGTGACTGTGTGTGTCTGTCTACCCTACCTCCTCGCGGTGCCGGACGGGCAACTTTGTCGTGGACAGTGCTGTGGGGGGAGGTCCAATTCCGATTGCCTCCTCCCCTCATGGCGTCTGTGTCCACCACAGGGGCTAAACGGGGGCTCTGGACGGGTGCGAGGGGCTGGTAACCCCTCCATCTTCAATTAATTTCCACTAAACTACGAATACAAAATGTAATTAATAAGCTTGTGCCGGAGGCCCCGGGGGGATAGGCGTCTATGACGTCTCCTGGCCAAACCCCAATTGGCGGAGCCAGGAGATTGAATCTTTACCCTCGGGGCTCCTCCAGAAACAACGAAAAGCCACTTCGTGTGGCCACGTGGAATGTTTGAACGCTCACTGCGGAGGAGAGGCTGCCACTCCTCTGTTGGGAGCTGGACCGGTACCGCCTGGATCTCTGTGGCATTCAGGAGGTCCGGTGGACCGGCTCTGGCTCCTGCCACCATGAGGGGTGGACAGTCCTCTACTCGGGGCAGGAGACTGCCAAACAACAGGGTGTGGCTCTTCTTTTGAACAAAAGAATGAAGGGGGCGTGGGAGTGTGGCGGTGAGGTGTGGGAAGCTCTAAGCCCCAGGCTACTTTGGGCTCGCCTTCCCATCAACCGGAGGCGAGGAGTGGTGGTCGTGGTTACTTATGCCCCCACCGAAGACGAACATCCGTGGAGGGATGCAGGCAAGGCCGATGAGGCAGATGCCTTCTATGACCTCCTGTCACAGGTGCTGGCTAAAGTGGCACCTCGGGATAGAGTCATCTTGTTGGGTGACTTCAATGCTTGAGTTGGTCATGATGCTGGCACCTGGTCTGGAGTGATCGGAGGGCATGGGCCAAATCAGCTCAATAACAACGGTAGGAGGCTGCTAGATTTTTGTGCAGCCCATGGGCTTGTAATTACCAACACGCTGTTCCGGCATCGGCGCATCCACACAACACCATGGATGCATGCCGGGTCCAAGCAAGAACATCTGCTGGACTACATAGTGACGGATCAGTGGATGCGATCCCATGTCCTTCACACCAGAACCTACCGTGGAGCTGATCTGCCCTCTGACCATCGACTAGTCATCTGTAAGATGCACCTGCCATTCTTCCACTCCAGTGGTGGGTGTAGACCCAGGACCCCATTCCAACCAAAGGTGGCCTGGTCTCAGCTGATGAAAGTTGCAAGCGAGAATTTCATCATCACTTGTGGCTGGGGTTGGCATCGTCCCCCACTCCTCCTGATGTCGAGGGTAAATGGGTGAGGTTTAGGACTGTGACTCATGCAGCTGCAATGGCTGCTTTGAGTACGTGGTCCAGACCTCCCCAGAGACCCTGGCTGACAGAGGAGGTGTTCAGGATGGTTGAGAAAAAGCGACAGGCCCACTGTCATCGGCTACAGAATCCCACGTCGGAGAATGAGGAGGCTTACCGCAGCCTTCGCTCGGAGGTTCGGAGAGCCATGAGGCGCTGCAAGGATGGGTGGTGGTCGCGGGTTGCTGAGGAGATGGAGTCTGTCTCAGTGGCCCGCGATCACAAATCCCTATTTAACTCCATCAAAAAAGTAACCTGCAGCGCCACACCGATTACCATCATTGGGGGAAAGAAAGGTGATCCAATCTCCGGCCCTCAGGAACAGGTTTGCAGATTTGCTGAGCATTTCTGTGAGGTCCTGGGGAAGGGGAAATCTCTCAGCCAGGAAAACATCGTGGCACAAAGTGAGGATGACCCTGCTGAGGCTGCGGTGCCTCCCCCTGTGAGTGGCTGGCTGAGGTGCCATCTGTTGAGGAAGTACTGAAGGCGATCCAGAGTCTGAGACCAGGAAAGGCACCGGGCAGAGATGATCTCCCAAGCGAAATGCTGAGGGAGGGTGGCGTTTGTGCACAGACTGCCCTATATGACATCATAACAACAGTCTGGACCACTGGACAGGTTCCACAGGATTGGAAGGATGCCCTGGTGGTCCCCCTCTTTAAGAAGGGGGACCGCACAGACTGTAACAACTACAGGGGCATCTCACTCCTCAGTGTGCCGGGAAAGGTCCTGGCAAGGATTATTCAACATCGCATTGCTAGGCACGCTGAGGAGAGGCTTGCGGAGCCCCAATGCGGTTTCAGGAAAGGGCGGTCCTGCACAGATGCCATATTTTCTGTCCGTCTGCTACAGCAGAGGTGTAGGGAATTCCAACAAGACCTACATATCTGCTTTATTGACCTGGTCAAGGCCTATGATACCATCAGTAGGCCTGGGCTCTGGGTTGTTCTTCGTACTTTCGGAGTCCCTGACCCTCTGCTCATGCTCATTAAGTACCTTCATGATGGTGAGCGGGCCCCGGTAAAACTACGTGGCCGGGAGTCAGAGCCATTCAATCGCTGTACCGGAAGAATTTCCATTTGGTACAGATATAATGGGAGGCTGAACGATGCCCGGGTGCGGTCAAGGGATGGCTCCCTATTACTCAACCACGTTATGTATGCCGATGATTTGGTAATAGCTGCTCATTCAGAGGAGGAGTTGGAGATGCTGCTGCTGAGACTGGAGCGTGCCACTAAGAGATGGGGCCTTACCATCAGCCCCACCAAAATTAAGCACCTGCCTGGGTATTTTGTATCATTGGACACTCCACCCCCACAACTCCCAATCGGTGATGGGGCAGTTGTGGAGAGAGTGGAGAGTTTCCCATACCTGGGCAGTGTGCTCATGACTGGCTCCGGTTTAACAGCAGAGGTCTCACTCTGAATCAGTCGAGCGGCAATATCTTTTCATCGGTTGCGTAACACTGTATGGAAGTTACCTGGTCTGTCGCTCCACACGAAGCTTCAGGTCTTCTCAGCCACGGTCATTCCCTCCCTTCTCTACGCTTGCGAAAGGTGGACCCCCTTAATGGAACATCTTCGCCGGTTAGAAACATTTAAGCTAGCCTGCCTATGATCCATCCTGGGTTTAACCAGGCTGGATTGTGTGAGGAGCTCACAAATCCTTGAAAGATCTGGGCAAGGTCCCATCAGTGAGCTCCTCCGGCAGGCAAGGCTGCGTTGGCTTGGTCATGCCCAGCCACCGCATGCCGAAACAGCTTTTCTTCGGCCGGATTGAGGGGGCTAAACGGGCGCGGCACGGGCTAGAGAAGAGATGGAGTGACGTGGTACAGGAGGACGTGGAGCTGAGTGGACTTGCCGATGACCGGTACCAGCGGTGTCAAGATCGGCCTCTGTGGAGGAGGCTCGTGAAGGATGCTACTGGGCAGTTGGAGGCAGTCGCCCTCCAACAACAACGGAGGGCGGAGGAGCGACGCTCAGAACAACGAGCGGAGCGCCGGGTGGCTAAAGCACAGCAGGTTGGCACAGTAGGGGGCACAGGTGGTGCATCAGCCAGTCATCTCAGTCAGTCGACCCGTGGCACCTGGGTCTGCCCCGTGACCTCCTGCCCGCGGGCGTTCGACACTTCACGTGGCCTCAAGGTGCACATAGCCTGGCACAAGCGTCGTGGTGACGTCACCGCCACTTAGTGGCGAATGGCGGTTGTTGTTGTTGTGTGTGTGACTGTGTGTGTGACTGTGTGTGTGTGTCACTGTGTGTGTGTCACTGTGACTGTGTGTATGTGACTGTGTGTGTGTGTCACTGTGTGTGTGTCACTGTGACTGTGTGTGTGTCACTGTGACTGTGTGTGTGACTGCGTGTGTGTGACTGTGTGTGTGTCACTGTGTGTGTGTGTCACTGTGTGTGTGTGTGTGTCACTGTGTGTGTGTGTGTGTCACTGTGTGTGTGTGTGTCACTGTGTGTGTGACTGTGTGACTGTGTGTGTGTGACTGTGTGTGTCACTGTGTGTGTCACTGTGTGTGTGTGTGTGTCACTGTGTTTGTCATTGTGTGTGTCACTGTGTGTGTGTGTGTCACTGTGTGTGTGTGTGTCACTGTGTGTGTGTGTCACTGTGTGTGTGTCACTGTGTGTGTGTGTAACTGTGTGTGACTGTGTGTAACTGACTGTGTGTCACTGTGTAGAGCGATCGAGGCGGTGTGTGTGTGACTGTGTGTGTAACTGTGACTGTGTGACTGTGTGTGTAACTGTGTCTCACTGTGTAGAGCGATCGAGGCGGTGTGTGTGTGACTGTGTAACTGTGTGACTGTGTGTGACTGTGTGTGTGTGTATCACTGTGACTGTGTCTCACTGTGTGTGACTGTGTGTAACTGTGTGTCTCACTGTGTAGAGCGATAGAGGCGGTGTGTGTGTGTGTCACTGTGACTGTGTGTGTGACTGTGTGTGTGTGTGTGTCACTGTGACTGTGTAACTGACTGTGTGTCACTGTGTAGAGCGATGGAGGCGGTGTGTGTGTGACTGTGTGTGTGTGTGTGTCACTGTGACTGACTGTGTCACTGTGTCACTGTGTGTGTGTGTCACTGTGTGTGTGTGTGTGACTGTGTGACTGTGTGTGTGTGTAGAGCGATGGAGGCGGTGTGTGTGTCACTGTGTAAGTGTGACTGTGTGTGTGTGTATCACTGTGTGTGTGACTGTGTGTGTGTGTAACTGTAACTGTGTGTCACTGTGTGTAGAGCGATGGAGGCGGTGTGTGTGTCACTGTGACTGTGTGTCACTGTGTGTGTGTAACTGTAACTGTGTGTGTGTGTAGAGCGATGGAGGCGGTGTGTGTGTGTGTGTGACTATGTGTGTGTGTCTCACTGTGACTGTGTGTGTGACTGTGTGTGTCTCACTGTGACTGTGTATCACTGTGTATCACTGTGTGTCTCACTGTGACTGTGTCTCACTGTGTAGAGCGATGGAGGCGGTGTGTGTGTGTCACTGTGTAACTGTGTGTGTATCACTGTGTGTGTCACTGTGTGTGTCACTGTGTGTGTCACTGTGTGTAGAGCGATGGAGGCGGTGTGTGTGTGTGTGACTGTGTGTGTCACTGTGTGTGACTGTGTAGAGCGATGGAGGCGGTGTGTGTATCACTGTGTGTGTGTGTAACTGACTATGTGTGTGTCTCTGTGTGTAGAGCGATGGAGGCGGTGTGTATGTCACTGTGTCACTGTGACTGTGTGTGTATCACTGTGACTGTGTCTCACTGTGTGTCTCACTGTGTGTAGAGTGATGGAGGCGGTGTGTGTGTGTGTATGTGTGACTGTGTGTCACACTGTGTAGAGCGATGGAGGCGGTGTGTGTGTCACTGTGACTGTGTGTGACTGTGTGTGTGTGTCACTGTCACTGTGTAGAGCGATGGAGGCGGTGTGTGTGTGTGTGACTGTGTATCACTGTGACTGTGTGTAACTGTGTGTGTGTCACTGTGACTGTGTGTGTGTCACTGTGACTGTGTGTGTGTCACTGTGTGTGTGTGACTGTGTGTGTGTGTATCACTGTGTGTGTGTGTCACTGTGTCTGTGTGTCACTGTGTGTGTGTGTGTCACTGTGTGTGTGTGTCACTGTGTGTGTCACTGTGTGTGCGTCACTGTGTGTGTGTGTCACTGTGTGTGACTGTGTGTATCACTGTGTGTGTGACTGTGTGTGTGTGTATCACTGTGTGTGTGTGTGACTGTGTGTAACTGTGTGTGTGTCACACTGTGTGTGTCTCTGTGACTGTGTGTGTCACACTGTGACTGTCTCACTGTGTAGAGCGATGGAGGCGGTGTGGACCTACCGTGCGTTGGGCCGTGTAGAGGAGCCGTACTGTAGCTTGGTGCGCAAAATTCGCGTCTCTCGTGATGGCTCGCAGCACCACGTGATTCGCGAGGTGACACACTCACACACTTACACACTCACACACACTCACACACACATACACACACTCACTTACACACTCACTCACTCACTTACACACTCACACACACTCACACACACACTCATACACACACTCACACACACACTCATACACACACTCACTTACACACACTTACACACTCACACTCACTTACACACACACACACACTCATACACACACTCACTCACTTACACACTCACTCACTCACACACTCACTTACACACACTTACACACTCACTTACTTACACTCACTCACTCACTCATACACTCACTCACTTACACTCACTCACTCATACACTCACTCACTCACACACTCACTCACTTACACACACTCACTCACACACACACACTCATACAAAGACAAAGATCCCCCGTATAGCCTTAACAGACTGTAGGGGCAAGTGCTGTTAGCGAGCACCTATGAAGGCCGGAACGGTACACGAGGGGGTGGGTGGCCAGCACCACGCCCGACCGCCTTTGTCTCCCCAGTGGCAATGTTTGCACACCGCACCAGGTACTCATTTGAGGCTGAGTCGACCTAGGGGAGGCCCAGGACCGGTTCAGATAATCGTCACTGGTGACGGCCGTGAGCGGGAATCGAACCCGGGTCGCCAGGTTCATAGCGCAGCGCGCTAACCGCTACACTATCGCTCCCCACTGTGTATGAGTGTATGTATACACTCATACACACACTCACTCACACACTCACTCACACACTCACTCACACACTCACTCATACACTCACTCATACACTCACTTACACACTCACTTACACACTCACTCACTCACTTACACACTCACACACACACTCACACACACACTCATACACACACTCACTCACTTACACACTCACACACTCACTTACACAACAACAACAACAACCGCCATTCGCCACTAAGTGGCGGTGACGTCACCACGACGCTTGTGCCAGGCTATGTGCACCGTGAGGCCACGTGAAGTGTCGAACGCCCGCTGGCAGGAGGTCACTGGGCAGACCCAGGTGCCACGGGTCGACTGACTGAGATGACTGGCTGATGCACCACCTGTGCCCCCTACTGTGCCCACCTGCTGTGCTTTAGCCACCCGGCGTTCCGCTCGTTGTTGTGAGCGTCGCTCCTCCGCCCTCCGTTGTTGTTGGAGGGCGACTGCCTCCAACTGCCCAGTAGCATCCTTCACGAGCCTCCTCCACAGAGGCCGATCTTGACACCGCTGGTACCAGTCATCGGCAAGTCCACTCAGCTCCACGTCCTCCTGTACCACATCACTCCATTTCTTCTCTAGCCCGTGCCGCGCCCGCTTAGCCCCCTCAATCCGGCCAAACAAAAGCTGTTTCGGCATGCGGTGGCTGGGCATGCGGGCTACATGACCCAGCCATCGCAGCCTTGCCTGCCGGAGGAGCTCACCGATGGGACCCTGCCCAGATCTTTCAAGGATTTGTGAGCTCCTCACACAATCCAGTCTGGTTAAACCTAGGATGGATCGTAGGCAGGCCAGCCTAAATGTTTCTAACTGGCGAAGATGTTCCACCAGGGGGGTCCACGTTTCGCAAGCGTAGAGAAGGGAGGGAATGACCGTGGCCGAGAAGACCTGAAGCTTAGTGCGGAGCGACAGACCAGGTAGCTTCCACACAGCGTTACGCAACCGATGAAAAGATATTGCCGCTCGAGTGATTCGGAGTGAGACCTCTGCTGTTAAACTGGAGCCAGTCATGAGCACACTGCCCAGGTATGGGAAACTCTCCACTCTCTCCACAACTGCCCCATCACCGATTGGGAGTTGTGGGGGTGGAGTGTCCGATGGTACAAAATACCCAGGCAGGTGCTTAGTTTTGGTGGGGCTGATGGTAAGGCCCCACCTCTTAGTGGCACGCTCCAGTCTCAGCAGCAGCGTCTCCAACTCCTCCTCTGACTGAGCAGCTATTACCAAATCATCAGCATACATAACGTGGTTGAGTAATAGGGAGCCATCCCTTGACCACACCCGGGCATCGATTAGCCTCCCATTATATCTGTACCATATGGAGATTCCCCCGGTACAGCTATTGAAGGCTTCACGAACTACGTGGTCAAAATAGATGTTAAATAATGTGGGAGCCAGAGGACATCCCTGTCGCACCCCAAGGTGTACAGGGAATGGCTCTGACTCCCGGCCACGTAGTTTTACCCGGGCCCGCTCACCATCATGAAGGTCCTTAATGATCGTGAGCAGAGGGTCAGGTACACCAAAAGCACGAAGAACGACCCAGAGCACTTACACACTCACACACACACACTCACTCACTCATACACTCACTTACACACTCACTCACTCACTTACACACTCACTTACACACTCACTCACTCACTTACACACTCACTCTCACTTACACACTCACTTACACACTCACTCACACACACACTCATACACTCACTCACTTACACACTCACTTACACACTCACTCACTCACACACTCACACACACACTCACTTACACACTCACTCACACACACACTCACACACACACTCACTTACACACTCACTTACACACTCACTCACACACACACTCACACTCATTCACTCACACACTCACACACTCATTCACTCACTCATACACTCACTCATTCACTCATACACTCACTCACTCATACACTCACTCACACACTCATACACTCACTCACTTACACACTCACACACTCACTCATACACTCACTCACACACTCATTCACTCACACACTCACTCACTCATTCACTCACTCATACACTCACTCACTCACTCATACACTCACTCACTCATACACTCACACACTCATACACTCACTCATACACTCACTCACTCATACACTCACACACACACTCACTCACACACACACTCACACACTCACTCATACACTCACACACTCACTCATACACTCACACACTCACTCATACACTCACTCATACACTCATACACTCACACACTCACTCACTCACACACTCACACACACACTCACTCACACACTCACACACCCACTCACTCACACACACTCACTCATACACTCACTCACTCACACAGTGATAGTGGTTGTTGTTGTGGTGGTTGTGATAGTGGTTGTGGTGGTTGTGGTGGTGGTGCAGGTTAGCTGGCTGGAGGGATGCCTGTATAGTGATTTTGGTGGTTGTGATAGTGGTTGTGGTGGTAGTGATAGTGGTTGTTGTTGTGGTTGTGATAGTGGTTGTGGTGGTTGTTGTTGTTGTTGTTGTTGTGGTGGTGGTTGTTGTGGTTGTGATAGTGGTTGTTGTTGTTGTGGTGGTTGTTGTTGTGGTGGTGGTGGTGGTGGTGGTGGTTGTGGTGGTGGTGGTGGTGGTGGTGCAGGTTAGCCGGCTGGAGGGACGTCCGTATAGTGATAGTGGTAGTTGTTGTGGTTTTGGTGGTTGTGGTTGTTGTGGTTGTGATAGTTGTGGTTGTTGTGGTGGTGGTTGTGGTGGTGATAATGGTTGTGGTTGTTGTTGTTGTTGTGGTGGTGGTGGTGCAGGTTAGCCGGCTGGAGGGACGTCTGTATAGTGATAGTGGTGGTTGTTGTTGTTGTGGTTGTGATAGTGGTTGTTGTGGTTGTTGTTGTGGTTGTTGTTGTTGTTGTGGTGGTGGTGGTGCAGGTTAGCCGGCTGGAGGGACGTCTGTACGCTCACCGCGCTGCGTTCGCCCGTGCGATGGTGCTGATGGCGTTCCTTGGCTCGGCTCCGCAGCTAACCCTGCAGGCCTACATCACCCTGCAGAGCCACAGCCTCACAGCATACAGAGGTAGTGTGTCTGTGTGTGTCACTGTCTGTGTGTGTGTGTCACTGTGTGTGTCCTACATCACCCTGCAGAGCCACAGCCTCACAGCATACAGAGGTAGTGTGTGTGTGTGTGTGTCACTGTGTGTGTCTGTGTGTGTGTGTCTGTGTGTCACTGTGTGTGTCTGTGTGTGTGTGTGTCACTGTGTGTGTGTGTCTGTCACTGTGTGTGTCTGTGTGTGTCTGTGTGTGTCTGTGTGTGTGTGTGTCACTGTGTGTGTCCTACATCACCCTGCAGAGCCACAGCCTCACAGCATACAGAGGTAGTGTGTGTGTGTGTGTCACTGTCTGTGTGTGTGTGTCTGTGTGTGTGTGTGTCTGTGTGTGTCTGTGTCTGTGTGTGTGTCACTGTGTGTGTCTGTCTGTGTGTGTGTGTCTGTCACTGTGTGTGTCTGTGTGTGTGTGTGTCATACATCACCCTGCAGAGCCACAGCCTCACAGCATACAGAGGTAGTGTGTCTGTGTGTGTGTCTGTGTCTGTGTGTGTGTCTGTGTGTGTGTCTGTGTGTGTGTCTGTGTGTGTCTGTGTGTGTGTGTGTGTCCTACATCACCCTGCAGAGCCACAGCCTCACAGCATACAGAGGTAGTGTGTGTGTGTGTGTCTGTGTGTCTGTGTGTGTGTGTCTGTGTGTCACTGTGTGTGTCTGTGTGTGTGTGTGTCACTGTGTGTGTGTGTGTGTCTGTGTGTCTGTGTGTGTGTCGGTGTGTGTGTCTGTGTGTGTCTGTGTGTGTGTATGTCTGTGTGTCACTGTCTGTGTGTCACTGTCTGTGTGTGTGTCTGTGTGTGTGTGTGTCTGTGTGTGTGTCTGTGTGTGTGTGTGTGTCTGTGTGTGTGTCTGTGTGTGTGTCTGTGTGTGTGTCTGTGTGTCTGTGTGTGTGTGTCACTGTGTGTGTCTGTGTGTCCTACATCACCCTGCAGAGCCACAGCCTCACAGCATACAGAGGTAGTGTGTCTGTGTGTGTGTGTGTCTGTGTGTGTGTGTGTCTGTGTGTGTGTGTCACTGTGTGTCTGTGTGTCCTACATCACCCTGCAGAGCCACAGCCTCACAGCATACAGAGGTAGTGTGTGTGTGTGTGTCACTGTGTCTGTGTGTGTGATTGTGTGTGTGTGTGTCTGTGTGTGTGTGTGTGTCTGTGTGTGTGTCTGTGTCTGTGTGTGTGTCTGTGTGTGTGTGTCTGTGTGTGTGTCTGTGTGTGTGTGTCTGTGTGTGTGTGTGTGTGTGTCACTGTCTGTGTGTGTGTGTCTGTGTGTGTGTCTGTGTCTGTGTGTGTGTGTCTGTGTGTGTGTGTCTCTCTGTGTCTCTGTGTAGGGGTTCTGATGGCTGTGTCTCTACTCTCTGTGTCCCTGGGGGCCCTGGTCCTCACCCTGCTCGCCATCCGAGTCTCTGTGTCTCTCTGTCTCTGTGTGTGTGTGTGTCTCTGTGTGTGTGTCTGTGTGTGTGTGTGTCTGTGTGTGTGTGTGTGTGTCTCTATGTGTCTGTGTGTGTGTGTGTTTCTGTGTGTCTCTGTCTGTGTGTAGGGGTTCTGATGGCCGTGTCTGTGTGTGTGTGTGTCTCTGTGTGTGTCTCTGTGTCTGTGTGTCTGTGTGTGTGTGTCTCTGTGTGTGTCTGTGTGTCACTGTGTGTGTGTGTCTGTGTGTGTGTCTCTGTGTGTCTGTGTGTGTGTCTGTGTCTCTGTGTGTGTCTCTGTGTGTGTGTCTCTGTGTGTGTGTGTCTGTGTGTCTCTGTCTCTGTGTAGGGGTTCTGATGGCCGTGTCTCTGCTCTCTGTGTCCCTGGGGGCCCTGGTCCTCACTCTGCTCGCCGTCCGAGTCTCTGTGTGTCTCTGTCTCTGTGTGTGTGTCTCTGTGTGTGTGTGTGTGTCTCTGTGTGTGTCTGTGTGTCTCTGTGTGTGTGTGTGTGTCTGTGTGTCTCTGTCTCTGTGTAGGGGTTCTGATGGCCGTGTCTCTGTGTGTGTGTCTCTGTGTAGGGGTTCTGATGGCCGTGTCTCTGTGTCTCTGTGTCTGTGTGTCTGTGTGTCTGTGTGTGTGTCTCTGTGTGTGTCTCTGTGTGTGTGTGTCTGTGTAGGGGTTCTGATGGCTGTCTTTCTACTCTCTGTGTCCCTGGGGGCCCTGGTCCTCACTCTGCTCGCCGTCCGTGTCTCTGTGTGTGTGTCTCTGTGTGTGTCTCTGTGTCTGTGTGTCTGTGTGTCTGTGTGTGTGTCTCTGTGTCTGTGTGTGTCTGTGTGTGTCTGTGTGTGTCACTGTGTGTGTGAGTGTCTGTGTGTCTGTGTGTGTCTCTGTGTGTGTGTAGGGGTTCTGATGGCTGTCTTTCTACTCTCTGTGTCCCTGGGGGCCCTGGTCCTCACTCTGCTCGCCGTCCGTGTCTCTGTGTGTGTGTCTCTGTGTCTGTCTGTGTGTGTCTGTGTGTGTGTGTGTGTCTCTGTGTGTGTGTGTCTGTGTGTCTCTGTGTGTGTGTGTGTGTCTGTGTGTGTCTCTGTGTAGGGGTTCTGATGGCCGTGTCTCTGTGTGTCTCTGTGTGTAGGGGTTCTGATGGCTGTCTCTCTACTCTCTGTGTCTGTGTGTGTCTGTGTGTGTCTCTGTGTGTGTGTAGGGGTTCTGATGGCTGTCTCTCTACTCTCCGTGTCCCTGGGGGCCCTGGTCCTCACCCTGCTCGCCGTCCGAGTCTCTGTGTGTTTGTGTGTCTCTGTGTTTGTGTCTGTGTGTCTGTGTGTGTCTCTGTGTGTGTGTGTAGGGGTTCTGATGGCTGTCTCTCTACTCTCTGTGTCCCTGGGGGCCCTGGTCCTCACCCTGCTCGCCGTCCGTGTCTCTGTGTGTGTGTCTCTGTCTGTGTGTGTGTGTCTCTGTGTGTCTGTGTGTGTCTCTGTGTGTGTCTGTGTGTCACTGTGTGTGTGTAGGGGTTCTGATGGCCGTGTCTCTGTGTGTCTCTCTGTCTGTGTGTGTCTGTGTGTCTCTGTGTGTCTCTCTGTGTGTGTCTGTGTGTAGGGGTTCTGATGGCTGTCTCTCTACTCTCCGTGTCCCTGGGGGCCCTGGTCCTCACCCTGCTCGCCGTCCGAGTCTCTGTGTGTCTCTGTGTCTCTGTGTGTCTGTGTGTGTCTCTGTGTGTCTCTGTGTGTGTCTGTGTGTGTGTCTGTGTGTCTGTGTGTCACTGTGTGTGTGTCTCTGTGTCTCTGTCTGTGTGTGTGTCTCTGTGTGTGTGTCTCTGTGTAGGGGTTCTGATGGCTGTCTCTCTACTCTCCATGTCCCTGGGGGCCCTGGTCCTCACTCTGCTCGCCGTCCGAGTCTCTGTGTGTCTGTGTGTCTCTGTGTCTCTGTGTGTCTCTGTGTGTGTGTGTGTGTCTCTGTGTGTGTGTCACTGTGTGTGTGTCTGTGTGTCTCTGTGTGTCTGTGTATGTCTCTGTGTGTCTCTGTGTGTCTCTGTGTGTGTGTCTGTGTGTCTGTGTGTCACTGTGTCTGTGTGTCTGTGTGTCTGTGTGTGTCATTGTGTCTCTGTGTAGGGGTTCTGATGGCTGTCTCTCTGCTCTCCGTGTCCCTGGGGGCCCTGGTCCTCACTCTGCTCGCCGTCCGAGTCTCTGTGTGTGTGTGTGTCTCTGTGTCTCTGTGTCTGTGTGTAGGGGTTCTGATGGCCGTGTCTCTGCTCTCCGTGTCCCTGGGGGCCCTGGTCCTCACTCTGCTCGCCGTCCGAGTCTCTGTGTGTGTGTCTCTGTGTCTGTGTGTGTGTGTGTGCGTGTGTGTGTGTGTGTGTCTCTGTGTGTCTCTCTGTGTCTCTGTGTAGGGGTTCTGATGGCTGTCTCTCTACTCTCTGTGTCCCTGGGGGCCCTGGTCCTCACCCTGCTCGCCGTCCGAGTCTCTGTGTGTGTCTCTGTGTGTGTCTGTGTGTGTGTCTGTGTGTCTCTGTGTGTGTCTCTGTGTGTCTCTGTGTCTGTGTAGGGGTTCTGATGGCTGTCTCTCTACTCTCCGTGTCCCTGGGGGCCCTGGTCCTCATCCTGCTCGCCGTCCGAGTCTCTGTGTGTCTCTGTGTCACTGTGTGTCTCTGTGTGTCTGTGTATCTGTGTGTGTCTCCGTGTCTCTGTGTGTGTGTGTGTGTGTCTCTGTGTGTGTGTCTCTGTGTAGGGGTTCTGATGGCTGTGTCTCTGCTCTCCGTGTCCCTGGGGGCCCTGGTCCTCACCCTGCTCGCCGTCCAAGTCTCTGTCTGCGTGTGTGTGTGTGTCTGTGTGTCTGTGTGTCTGTGTGTGTGTGTGTGTGTCTGTGTGTCTGTGTGTCTCTGTGTGTCTCTGTGTGTCTGTGTGTGTCTGTGTGTAGGGGTTCTGATGGCTGTCTCTCTACTCTCCGTGTCCCTGGGGGCCCTGGTCCTCACCCTGCTCGCCGTCCGAGTCTCTGTGTGTCTGTGTCTCTGTGTGTGTCTCTGTGTGTGTCTCTGTGTGTGTCTGTGTAGGGGTTCTGATGGCTGTCTCTCTGCTCTCCGTGTCCCTGGGGGCCCTGGTCCTCACTCTGCTCGCCGTCCGAGTCTCTGTGTGTGTGTGTCTGTGTCTGTGTGTGTCTGTGTGTGTGTCTGTGTGTGTCTCTGTGTGTGTCTCTGTGTGTCACTGTGTGTGTCTGTGTAGGGGTTCTGATGGCCGTGTCTCTGTGTGTGTCTGTGTAGGGGTTCTGATGGCTGTCTCTCTGCTCTCCGTGTCCCTGGGGGCCCTGGTCCTCACCCTGCTCGCCGTCCGAGTCCGCTTCGACCGCGTGGAGCTCCGCATCAGCGGCCGCGCTGTCGTCGTGGCGACCGCCTGGCGAGCCATGGAGATCTCTACCCGCGTCACAGTCCTCGTGCTCTTCAGCTCTGCCTGCCGGGTACACACACAGCGTGTGTGTGTGTGTCACTGTGTGTGTGTCACTGTGTGTGTGTGTCACTGTGTGTGTGTGTGTCACTGTGTGTGTGTCACTGTGTGTGTGTCACTGTGTGTGTGTCACTGTGTCCCTGGCGAGCCATGGAGATCTCTACCCGCGTCACAGTCCTCGTGCTCTTCAGCTCTGCCTGCCGGGTACACACACAGCATGTGTGTGTGTGTACCATCGGACACTCCACCCCCACAACTCCCAATCGGTGATGGGGCAGTTGTGGAGAGAGTGGAGAGTTTCCCATACCTGGGCAGTGTGCTTATGACTGGCTCCAGTTTAACAGCAGAGGTCTCACTCCGAATCAGTCGAGCGGCAATATCTTTTCATCGGTTGCGTAACGCTGTGTGGAAGCTACCTGGTCTGTCGCTCCGCACTAAGCTTCAGGTCTTCTCGGCCACGGTCATTCCCTCCCTTCTCTACGCTTGCGAAACGTGGACCCCCCTAATGGAACATCTTCGCCGGTTAGAAACATTTAGGCTGGCCTGCCTACGATCCATCCTGGGTTTAACCAGACTGGATTGTGTGAGGAGCTCACAAATCCTTGAAAGATCTGGGCAGGGTCCCATCGGTGAGCTCCTCCGGCAGGCAAGGCTGCGATGGCTGGGTCATGTTGCCCGCATGCCCAGCCACCGCATGCCGAAACAGCTTTTGTTTGGCCGGATTGAGGGGGCTAAGCGGGCGCGGCACGGGCTAGAGAAGAGATGGAGTGATGTGGTACAGGAGGACGTGGAGCTGAGTGGACTTGCCGATGACTGGTACCAGCGGTGTCAAGATCGGCCTCTGTGGAGGAGGCTCGTGAAGGATGCTACTGGGCAGTTGGAGGCAGTCGCCCTCCAACAACAAAGGAGGGCGGAGGAGCGACGCTCACAACAGCGAGCGGAGCGCCGGGTGGCTAAAGCACAGCAGGTTGGCACAGTAGGGGGCACAGGTGGTGCATCAGCCAGTCATCTCAGTCAGTCGACCCGTGGCACCTGGGTCTGCCCCGTGACCTCCTGCCAGCGGGCGTTCGACACTTCACGTGGCCTCAGGGTGCACATAGCCTGGCACAAGCGTCGTGGTGACGTCACCGCCACTTAGTGGCGAATGGCGGTTGTTGTTGTTGTTGTTGTGTCACTGTGTGTGTCACTGTGTGTGTGTGTCACTGTGTGTGTGTGTGTGTCTGTGTGTGTCACTGTGTGTGTCACTGTGTGTGTGTGTGTCACTGTGTGTGTGTCACTGTGTGTGTGTCACTGTAAAACAACCCCCTACCTCCTCGCGGTGCCGGACGGGCAACTCTGTCGTGGACAGCGCTGTGGGGGGAGATCCAATTTTGATTGGCTCCTCCCCTCATGGCATATGTGTCCACCACAGGGGCTAAACGGGGGCTCTGGACGGGTGCGAGGGGCTGGTAACCCCTCCACCTTCAATTAATTACCACGAAACCACGAATTAAACTGAAATATGTAACAACTAAGCTTGTGCCGGAGGCCCCGGGGGGCCAGGCGTCTATGACGTCTCCTGGCCAAACCCCAATTGGCGCAGCCAGGAGATTGAATACCTACCCTCGGGGCTACTCCAGAAACAACGAAAAGCCACTACGGGTGGCCACGTGGAATGTTCGAACGCTCACTGCAGAGGAGAGGCTGCCACTCCTCTGTCGGGAGCTGGACCGGTACCGCCTGGATCTATGCGGCATTCAGGAGGTCCGGTGGACCGGCTCTGGCTCCTGCCACCATGAGGGGTGGACAGTCCTCTACTCGGGGCAGCAGACTGCCAAACAACAGGGTGTGGGTCTTCTTTTGAACAAAAGAATGAAGGGGGCGTGGGAGCGTGGCGGTGAGGTGTGGGAAGCTGTAAGCCCCAGGCTACTTTGGGCTCGCCTTCCCATCAACCGGAGGCGAGGAATGGTGGTCGTGGTTACTTATGCCCCCACCGAAGATGAACATCCGTGGAGGGATGCAGGCAAAGCCGATGAGTCAGATGCCTTCTATGACCTCCTGTCACAGGTGCTGGCTAAAGTGGCCCCTCGGGATAGAGTCATCTTGTTGGGTGACTTCAATGCCCGAGTTGGTCATGATGCTGGCACCTGGTCTGGAGTGATTGGAGGGCATGGGCCAGATCAGCTCAATAACAACGGTAGGAGGCTGCTAGATTTTTGTGCAGCCCATGGGCTTGTAATTACCAACACGCTGTTCCGGCATCGGCGCATCCACACAACATCATGGATGCATGCCGGGTCCAAGCAAGAACATCTGCTGGACTACATCGTGACGGACCAGCGAATGCGAGCCCATGTCCTTGACACCAGGACCTACCGTGGAGCTGATCTGCCCTCTGACCATCGACTAGTCATCTGTAAGATGCGCCTGCCATTCTTCCACTCCGGTGGTGGGTGTACACCCAGGACCCCATTCCAACCTAAAGTGGCCTGGTCTCAGTTATGTGATGAAAGTTGCAAGCGAGAATTTCATCATCGCTTGCGGCTGGGATTGGCATCGTCCCCGACTCCTCCTGATGTCGAGGGCAAATGGGCGAGGTTTAGGACTGTGACTCATGCAGCTGCAATGGCTGCTTTGGGTACGCGGTCCAGACATCCCCAGACACCCTGGATGACAGGGGAGTTGTTCAGGATGGTTGAGAAAAAGCGACAGGCCCACTGTCATCGGCTACAGAATCCCACGTCAGAGAATGAGGAGGCTTACCGCAGCCTTCGCTCGGAGGTTCGGAGAGCCGTGAGGCGCTGCAAGGATGGGTGGTGGTCGCGGGTTGCTGAGGAGATGGAGTCTGCCTCAGTGGCCCGTGATCACAAATCTCTATTTAACTCCATCAAAAAAGTAACCTGCAGCGCCACACCTATTACCATCATTAGGGGAAAAAACGGTGATCCAATTTCCGACCCCCAGGAACAGGTTCGCAGATTTGCTGAGCATTTCTGTGAGGTCCTGGGGGAGGGAAAATCCCTCAGCCAGGAAAACATCGTGGCACAAAGTGAGGATGACCCTGCTGAGGCTGCGGTGCCTCAAATATTGGATGAAGTCACCCCCTGTGAGTGGCTGGCTGAGGTGCCATCTGCTGAGGAAGTATTGAAGGCGATCCGGAGTCTGAGACCAGGAAAGGCAGCGGGCAGAGATGATCTCCCAAGCGAAATGCTGAGGGAGGGTGGCGTTTGTGCACAGACTGCCCTATATGACATCATAACAACAGTCTGGACCACTGGACGGGTTCCGCAGGATTGGAAGGATGCCCTGGTGGTCCCCCTTTTTAAGAAGGGGGACCGCACAGACTGTAACAACTACAGGGGCATCTCACTCCTCAGTGTGCCGGGAAAGGTCCTGGCAAGGATTATTCAGCATCGCCTTGCCAGGCACGCTGAGGAGAGGCTTGCGGAGCCCCAATGCGGTTTCAGGAAAGGGCGGTCCTGCACAGATGCCATATTTTCTGTCCGTCTGCTACAGCAGAGGTGTAGGGAATTCCAACAAGACCTACATCTCTGCTTTATTGACCTGGTCAAGGCCTATGATACCATCAGTAGGCCTGGGCTCTGGGTCGTTCTTCGTGCTTTTGGAGTACCTGACCCTCTGCTCACGATCATTAAGGACCTTCATGATGGTGAGCGGGCCCGGGTAAAACTACGTGGCCGGGAGTCAGAGCCATTCCCTGTACACCTTGGGGTGCGACAGGGATGTCCTCTGGCTCCCACATTATTTAACATCTATTTTGACCACGTAGTTCGTGAAGCCTTCAATAGCTGTACCGGGGGAATCTCCATATGGTACAGATATAATGGGAGGCTAATCGATGCCCGGGTGCGGTCAAGGGATGGCTCCCTATTGCTCAACCACGTTATGTATGCTGATGATTTGGTAATAGCTGCTCAGTCAGAGGAGGAGTTGGAGACACTGCTGCTGAGACTGGAGCGTGCCACTAAGAGGTGGGGCCTTACCATCAGCCCCACCAAAACTAAGCACCTGCCTGGGTATTTTGTACCATCGGACACTCCACCCCCACAACTCCCAATCGGTGATGGGGCAGTTGTGGAGAGAGTGGAGAGTTTCCCATACCTGGGCAGTGTGCTTATGACTGGCTCCAGTTTAACAGCAGAGGTCTCACTCCGAATCAGTCGAGCGGCAATATCTTTTAATCGGTTGCGTAACGCTGTGTGGAAGCTACCTGGTCTGTCGCTCCGCACTAAGCTTCAGGTCTTCTCGGCCACGGTCATTCCCTCCCTTCTCTACGCTTGCGAAACGTGGACCCCCCTAATGGAACATCTTCGCCGGTTAGAAACATTTAGGCTGGCCTGCCTACGATCCATCCTGGGTTTAACCAGACTGGATTGTGTGAGGAGCTCACAAATCCTTGAAAGATCTGGGCAGGGTCCCATCGGTGAGCTCCTCCGGCAGGCAAGGCTGCGATGGCTGGGTCATGTAGCCCGCATGCCCAGCCACCGCATGCCGAAACAGCTTTTGTTTGGCCGGATTGAGGGGGCTAAGCGGGCGCGGCACGGGCTAGAGAAGAGATGGAGTGATGTGGTACAGGAGGACGTGGAGCTGAGTGGACTTGCCGATGACTGGTACCAGCGGTGTCAAGATCGGCCTCTGTGGAGGAGGCTCGTGAAGGATGCTACTGGGCAGTTGGAGGCAGTCGCACTCCAACAACAACGGAGGGCGGAGGAGCGACGCTCACAACAGCGAGCGGAGCGCCGGGTGGCTAAAGCACAGCAGGTTGGCACAGTAGGAGGCACAGGTGGTGCATCAGCCAGTCATCTCAGTCAGTCGACCCGTGGCACCTGGGTCTGCCCCGTGACCTCCTGCCAGCGGGCGTTCGACACTTCACGTGGCCTCAGGGTGCACATAGCCTGGCACAAGCGTCGTGGTGACGTCACCGCCACTTAGTGGCGAATGGCGGTTGTTGTTGTTGTTGTTGTGTGTGTGTGTCACTGTGTGTGTGTCACTGTGTGTGTGTGTGTGTAGGAGTGGACTCTGGCTGTAGTGCTACTCAACCTCACGGTTTTTGGTCTCCTGCCGTGGGTCGGCCTTTGGAGGCAGCGTCGATGTTTGCCAGAACACCCCGACACCACTTACGGTGACTCCACCACCACCACCACTATCACCACACCACCACCACCACTACTATCACCACACCACCACCACCACTACTACACCACCACTACCACTACTACACCATCACTACACCACCACTACTCCACCACCACCACTACACCACCACTCCACCACCACTACACCACTACACTACCACCACACCACTACTCCACCACCACTACTACACCACCACTACACCACCACTACACCACCACCCCACCACCACCACTACACCACCACTACTCCACCATTACCACACCACCACCACTATCACCACCACCACTACTACACCATCACTACACCACCACTACCACCACCACACCACCATCACACCACCACACCACCACTACCACTACTACCACCACCACTACACCACTATACTACTACACCACCACCACCACACCACTACTCCACCACCACCACACTACCACCACACCACCATCACCACCACACCACCACACCACCACCACCACACCACCACTACACCACCACACCACCACCACACCACCACCACACCACCACCACACCACCACCACACCACCACTACTCCACTTATGGTGACTCCACCCACCCCTCCCCACCCCAGGTGCGTGCGGTGCGGCCACCTCCTCCGTCCTCCTCTCCCTCCTCTTTGCCGCCGTCAACGCCTTCTGCTGGTCGGCTCTTCGCCTGCAGCTCTCCGCCCCCGAGCTCGTGGTGACCGGCGGCGGCGGCGGTGGCGGCGGCGGCGGCGGCGACCGCCCCCTGCGCTGGGCCGCGGCCTTCTACTCCGCTCGCCTCCTGGAGAACACGGCCCTCCTGCTCGCCTGGTGGCTGGCCGTCGATGGACGGCCCCAGCAGCCGCCGCCGCCGCTGTGCCCGCCGGCGGCGCTCGCCAAGCTCACGGCCGCCTACGGCCTCGCCGTGGCGCTCATGGTCGTCTTCTACCGCTACTGCCACCCCTGCCGGCGGCTGCTGCGGTTCCGCCCGGGCTGGGCCCGGCTGTGCCCGGCGCCGGGCGGCGGCGGCGGCGACGGCGGCGGCACCGGCGCCTGGGGCGACGACGGCGACGATGATTATGAGGAGGAGGAGGAGGAGGAGCGGGGGCGGTGCTGGGAGCGCTGGTGTGGTGTTAAGGGTGGCGGCCGTGGCGGCGGTGATTGTAAAGGCACCAGAGGTGGTGGTGGTGGTGGTAGCGGTGGTGGTGGTGGCGGTGGTGGCGGCGGTGGTGGTGGTGGTGGTGGCGGTGGTGGCGGTGGTGGTGGCGGTGGTGGTGGTGGTGGCGGTGGTGGTACGGAGGCTCCACTTGTGGCCGGGGAAGAGGAGGGGGATGATGACGGAGAAGCAAAGGATTCTGGGAGGCTGATGATGGTGGCCACTGGCCCTGCCCGCAGTACCCATGGTGGTGGTGGTGGTGGCGGTAGCCAGGTATGAGAGCCAGGGTACTGCTGGTGGTGCTGCTGCTGCTGCTGCTGGTGGTGGTGGTTGTTGTTGCTGCTCAACAGCCGCTTGCCCCAACAGTCTGTTGAGGCTACACGGGGGATCTTTGTCTTTGTTTGCATGTCTGTCTGTGTGCGACTCAACTAGTCCTGGGCGTCCCCTACGTTGACTCAGTGTCAAATGAGTATCTGTTACGATCGCCACCGGGGAGACAAAGGTGGCCCACAACCATTTACTCACCAATCCACTCACCCATTTACTCACCGATCCACTCACCCACTCAGCTACCCACTCACCCATTTACTCACCAATCCACTCACCCACTCAGCTACCCACTCACCCATTTACTCACCAAACCACTCACCCACTCAGCTACCCACTCACTCACCCATCCACTCACCCACCCACTCATCCACCCACCCACTCACCAATCCACTCACCCACTCACCCATTTACTCACCAATCCACTCACCCACTCAGCAACCCACTCACCTATTTACTCACCAATCCACTCACCCACTCAGCTACCCACTCACCCATCCACTCATCCACCCACTCACCCACTAACCCATCCACGTACCCATCCACTCACCCACCCACTCACCCATCCACTCACCCACCCACTCACCCATCCACTCACCGACCCACTCACCCATCCACTCACCCACTCACCAACCCACTCATCCACCCACTCACTCACCAATGCACTCACCCACCCACTCACCAATGCACTCACCCACCCACTCACCAATGCACTCACCCACCCACTCACCAATGCACTCACCCACCCACCAATGCACTCACCCACCCACTCACCAATGCACTTACCCACCCACCCACCAATGTACTCACCCACCCACTCACCAATGCACTCACCCACCCACTCACCAATGCACTCACCCACCCACTCACCCACCCACTCACCAATGCACTCACCCACCCACTCACCCACCCACTCACCAATGCACTCACCCACCCACTCACCCACTCACCAATGCACTCCTCACCCACCCACCAATGCACTCACCCACCCACTCACCCACCCACTCACCCACCCACCCACCAATGCACTCACCCACCCACTCACCCACCCACTCACCAATGCACTCACCCACCCACTCACCAATGCACTCACCCACCCACTCACCAATGCACTCCTCACCCACCCACCAATGCACTCACCCACCCACTCACCCACTCACCCATCCACCCACTCACCAATGCACTCACCCACCCAAGGCTGTGGATCTGAATGGAAACAGAAAACAAAATGGCGGCTCGCCAAGTGCGCCGCCATTTTGTGCGCCGCCATTTTGGAGAGACGAGTGGAAAAAATGGCGGCCGGGCGCGCCGCCATTTTGAGAGGGCAGCGGGTGGGGACGAACAAAAAATGGCCGCCGCAACATGTGGCCACCATTATTTATTTACTTTTGCAATCACGTGTGACTCCGGGCAGCCAATCGCGTGCTGCTGCCGCTGCTGCCAGCGACGACTTGGGAGCGTCGATGTCCATTGCGAGGGGAGGTGGTGGGCCACCCACAGCCCTGTGTACCGTGCCGGTCTCCTCAACGAGGCTACAAACCCGGGTTTCGATTCCCGCTCGCGACGGCCGCCGCCGCCGCCACCACCAACTCAAGCGGCGGCGGCGGCAGCGGCGGCGGCGATCGTCCGAACAACCTTCAGTCTAAAGTGAAAATGTGTTCCTTTAGAGCTGCTGCTGCTGCCGCGGTTGTTGTTGTTGTTGTGTTTAGTTTGTTGTCTTTCCCCCCCCCCCCCCCAAAATAAGTTCAGCGTAGTTACATACGTGGGTGGGTGGGTGGATGATTGAGTGGGTGGGTGGATGATTGAGATGATTGAGTGGGTGGGTGGATGAATGAGTGGGTGGGTGGATGATTGAGTGGGTGGGTGGGTGGAGTGATTGAGTGGGTGGGTGAGTGAGTGGAATGGTGGATGAGTGGGTGGAATGGTGGATGAGTCGGTGGTGAGTGAGTGAGTGGGCCAGTGGGTGGGTGGGTCAGTGGGTGGATGAGTGGGTGGATGATTGAGTGGGTGGGTGAGTGAGTGGAATGGTGGATGAGTGGGTGGTGAGTGAGTGGGTGGGTCAGTGGATGATTGAGTGGGTAGATGGATCAGTGGGTGGATGAGTGGGTGAATGATTGAGTGGATAGGTGAGTGAGTGGAATGGTGGATGAGTGGGTGAGTGGCTGCTGAGTGAGTGAGTGGGTGAGTGAGCGGGTGAGTGCCTAACCATCGAACAAAGGGGATCGCAGTTGGCTACATACGAAGAAAGTCTGGCATACATATAACCGGTTACCTACGCCTACCCTAGGTCGACTCAGCCTCAAATTATTACCTCGTTCAGTGTGTAGTAAACGTGGCCACCGGGGAGATACAAAGGCGGCCGGGCGTGGTGCCGGCCACCCTCGTTCACCACGGTGCTAACCGCAATTTCCCCTTGTTAGAGGTTGTCTTTACGTCGTGTGTAAGGAGCGGTGGGGCAGCGGTTAGCGCTATGGCACTACGAACCACGCTCGTGACCTCCACCGCCACTCCCCTCTGTGTGTGCCACGGTGCCGGTAGCCTTCATAGGCGCTGCTGCTGCTACTGACGGCACCCGCCCCTACCAGTCTGTTAGAGGCTACACGGGGGAGCTTTGTCTTTGTACATATAAAATACATGTATACTACATAGGGCGCATGATCAAAGATTGTAAGCTCTCACGGCTCACAATGGGTGGTTCACGGTGGCCGTGTGGGTGGGTGGGGTTCACGGTGGGTGGGTGGGTGGGGTTCACGGTGGCCGTGTGGGTGGGTGGGGTTCACGATGGCTGTGTGGGTGGGTGGATGGGGTTCACGGTGGCCGTGTGGGTGGGTGGGGTTCACGGTGGCCGTGTGGGTGGGTGGGGTTCACGGTGGCCGTGTGGGTGGGTGGGGTTCACGGTGGGTGGGTGGGTGGGGTTCACGGTGGCCGTGTGGGTGGGTGGGTGGGGTTCACGATGGCCGTGTGGGTGGGTGGGTGGGGTTCACGATGGCCGTGTGGGTGGGTGGGTGGGGTTCACGGTGGCCGTGTGGGTGGGTGGATGGGGTTCTCCGTGGCCGCGTGGGTGGGTGGATGGGGTTCACGGTGGCCGTGTGGGTGGGTGGATGGGGTTCACGGTGGCCGTGTGGGTGGGTGGATGGGGTTCACGGTGGCCGTGTGGGTGGGTGGATGGGGTTCACGGTGGCCGTGTGGGTGGGTGGATGGGGTTCACGGTGGCCGTGTGGGTGGGTGGGGTTCACGGTGGCCGTGTGGGTGGGTGGGGTTCACGATGGCCGTGTCTGTGGGTGGGGTTCACGGTGGGTGGGTGGGGTTCACGATGGCCGTGTGGGTGGGTGGGGTTCACGGTGACCGTGTGGGTGGGTGGGGTTCACGGTGGCCGTGTGGGTGGGTGGGTTCACCCATGGCACCTGCAGGGTCTGTCCACGTGACCTCATGCACCTAGCCTGGCACAGCAGTACAACCCACGGCATCTGCTGGGTCTGTCCACGTGACCTCGTGCACCTAGCCTGGCACAGCAGTACAACCCACGGCACCTGCTGGGTCTGTCCCGTGACTTCCCGCCAGTGAGCCTTCGACACATCACTTGGTCTCCAAGTGCACCTAGCCTGGCACGGGGCGCCGTGGTGACGTCACCGTCACTTAGTGGCGAATGGCGGCTGTTGGTATTGGTACGCTACTGTACACAAACTGTATGCTACTGTACACGATTTGCACACCGACACTACTGTACATACTGCGCCACTGTACACAACTGTATGCTACTGTACACGATTTGCGCACCGACAATACTGTACACTGTCCGCACTGTACGCGACTGTACGCGACTGTACACGGTTAGCACACCGACAATACTGTGCACACTGTATGCACTGCGCGACTGTATGCTACTGTACACGATTTGCACACCGGCGCTACTGTACACACTGTATGCTACTGTACACGACTGTACATTTCTGCGCTCTACTGTTCACTACAGTGCACAAATGTACACGGCTGTACGCCACTGTACGCCACTGTACGCCTTACACCACTCTACATTTACTGTACACCACGGTGTGTCACTGTACACGGCTACATCACTGTACGCTACTGCTCGCTACTCTACTGTACACCACTGTGCAGCACTGTACACCACTGTGCACCACTGTACACCACTGTACACTGGCTTGTGGGTTTACTGTGAGAATTTTAAGTAATTTTTGTGCCATCAGGCGGACCGACTCTGACAAACGTTCGGTCGACGTTGAGGCGACGTTGGGCTGACGTTGAGGCGACGTTGGGTCGACGTTGAAGCGACGTTGGGCTGACGTTGAGGCGACGTTGAGGCTGACGTTGAGGCGACGTTGGGCTGACGTTGAGGCGACGTTGGGCTGACGTTGAGGCGACGTTGGGCTGACGTTGAGGCGACGTTGGGCAAAATTCTGGCTTTTATTTATTTCAAAGAAAAATAAAAACCGTTGAGAAAATTACTACAGCAGTTGACTAATTACTGTGGGAATGAATCACTCGTTAAGTGAGTCACTCGTTAAGTGAATCACTCGTTAAGTGAGTCACTCGTTAAGTGAATCACTCGTTAGGTGAATCACTCGTTAAGTGAGTCACTCGTTAAGTGAATCACTCGTTAAGTGAGTCACTCGTTCAGTGAGTCACTCGTTAAGTGAATCATTCGTTAAGTGAGTCACTCGTTAAGTGAGTCACTCGTTAAGTGAGTCACTCGTTAAGTGAGTCACTCGTTAAGTGAATCACTCGTTAAGTTAATCACTCGTTAAGTGAGTCACTCGTTAAGTGAATCACTCGTTAGGTGAATCACTCGTTAAGTGAGTCACTCGTTAAGTGAATCACTCGTTAAGTGAGTCACTCGTTAAGTGAGTCACTCGTTAAGTGAATCATTCGTTAAGTGAATCATTCGTTAAGTGAGTTACTCGTTAAGTGAATCACTCGTTGAGTGAATCACTCGTTAAGTGAATCACTCGTTAAGTGAGTCACTCGTTAAGTGAATCACTCGTTAAGTGAGTCACTCGTTAAGTGAGTCACTCGTTAAGTGAGTCGCTCGTTAAGTGAGTCACTCGTTAAGTGAATCACTCGTTAGGTGAATCACTCGTTAAGTGAGTCACTCGTTAAGTGAATCACTCGTTAAGTTAATCACTCGTTAAGTGAGTCACTCGTTAAGTGAGTCACTCGTTAAGTGAATCACTCGTTAGGTGAATCACTCGTTAAGTGAGTCACTCGTTAAGTGAATCACTCGTTAAGTGAGTCACTCGTTAAGTGAGTCACTCGTTAAGTGAATCATTCGTTAAGTGAATCATTCGTTAAGTGAGTTACTCGTTAAGTGAATCACTCGTTAAGTGAATCACTCGTTAAGTGAATCACTCGTTAAGTGAGTCACTCGTTGAGTGAATCACTCGTTGAGTGAATCACTCGTTAAGTGAGTCACTCGTTAAGTGAGTCACTCGTTAAGTGAGTCGCTCGTTAAGTGAGTCACTCGTTAAGTGAATCACTCGTTAGGTGAATCACTCGTTAAGTGAGTCACTCGTTAAGTGAATCACTCGTTAAGTGAGTCACTCGTTCAGTTAGTCACTCGTTAAGTGAATCATTCGTTAAGTGAGTCACTCGTTAAGTGAGTCACTCGTTAAGTGAGTCACTCGTTAAGTGAGTCACTCGTTAAGTGAATCACTCGTTAAGTGAGTCACTCGTTAAGTGAATCACTCGTTAAGTTAATCACTCGTTAAGTGAGTCACTCGTTAAGTGAGTCACTCGTTAAGTGAATCACTCGTTAAGTGAGTCACTCGTTAAGTGAGTCACTCGTTAAGTGAGTCACTCGTTAAGTGAATCACTCGTTAAGTGAGTCACTCGTTAAGTGAGTCACTCGTTAAGTGAGTCACTCGTTAAGTGAATCACTCGTTAAGTGAGTCACTCGTTTAGTGAATCACTCGTTAAGTGAATCACTCGTTAAGTGAATCACTCGTTAAGTGAGTCACTCGTTAAGTGAATCACTCGTTAAGTGAGTCACTCGTTAAGTGAGTCACTCGTTAAGTGAATCACTCGTTAAGTGAATCACTCGTTAAGTGAGTCACTCGTTAAGTGAATCACTCGTTAAGTGAGTCACTCGTTTAGTGAATCACTCGTTAAGTGAATCACTCGTTAAGTGAATCACTCGTTAAGTGAATCACTCGTTAAGTGAGTCACTCGTTAAGTGAGTCGCTCGTTAAGTGAGTCGCTCGTTAAGTGAGTCGCTCGTTAAGTGAATCGCTCGTTAAGTGAATCACTCGTTAAGTGAGTCACTCGTTAAGTGAGTCACTCGTTAAGTGAGTCACTCGTTAAGTGAATCACTCGTTAAGTGAATCACTCGTTAAGTGAGTCACTCGTTAAGTGAGTCACTCGTTAAGTGAATCACTCGTTAAGTGTATCACTCGTTAAGTGAGTCACTCGTTAAGTGAATCACTCGTTAAGTGAGTCACTCGATAAGTGAGTCACTCGTTAAGTGAGTCACTCGTTAAGTAAGTCACTCGTTAAGTGAATCACTCGTTAAGTGAGTCACTCGTTAAGTGAATCATTCGTTAAGTGAGTCACTCGTTAAGTGAATTACTCGTTAAGTGAGTCACTCGTTAAGTGAATTACTCGTTAAGTGAATCACTCGTTAAGTGAATCACTCGTTAAGTGAGTCACTCGTTAAGTGAGTCGCTCGTTAAGTGAGTCGCTCGTTAAGTGAGTCGCTCGTTAAGTGAGTCACTCGTTAAGTGAATCACTCGTTAAGTGAATCATTCGTTAAGTGAATCACTCGTTAAGTGAATTACTCGTTAAGTGAATCACTCGTTAGGTGAATCACTCGTTAAGTGAATCACTTGTTAAGTGAGTCACTCGTTAAGTGAGTCACTCGTTAAGTGAATCACTCGTTAAGTGAGTCACTCGTTAAGTGAATCACTCGTTAAGTGAGTCACTCGTTAAGTGAATCACTCGTTAAGTGAGTCACTCGTTAAGTGAATCACTCGTTAAGTGACTCACTCGTTAAGTGAATCGCTCGTTAAGTGAATCACTCGTTAAGTGAGTCTCTCGTTAAGTGAATCACTCGTTAAGTGAGTCACTCGTTAAGTGAGTCACTCGTTAAGTGAATCATTCGTTAAGTGAGTCACTCGTTAAGTGAATTACTCGTTAAGTGAGTCACTCGTTAAGTGAATTACTCGTTAAGTGAGTCACTCGTTAAGTGAATCACTCGTTAAGTGAATCACTCGTTAAGTGAGTCACTCGTTAAGTGAATCACTCGTTAAGTGAATCGCTCGTTAAGTGAGTCGCTCGTTAAGTGAGTCACTCGTTAAGTGAGTCGCTCGTTAAGTGAGTCGCTCGTTAAGTGAGTCGCTCGTTAAGTGAGTCACTCGTTAAGTGAGTCACTCGTTAAGTGAGTCACTCGTTAAGTGAATCACTCGTTAAGTGAATCACTCGTTAAGTGAGTCACTCGTTAAGTGAATCACTCGTTAAGTGAGTCACTCGTTAAGTGAGTCACTCGTTAAGTGAGTCACTCGTTAAGTGAGTCACTCGTTAAGTGAGTCACTCGTTAAGTGAATCACTCGTTAAGTGAGTCACTCGTTAAGTGAATCACTCGTTAAGTGAATCACTCGTTAAGTGAGTCACTCGTTAAGTGAGTCACTCGTTAAGTTAGTCATTCGTTAAGTGAGTCACTCGTTAAGTGAATCACTCGTTAAGTGAGTCACTCGTTAAGTGAGTCACTCGTTAAGTGAGTCACTCGTTAAGTAAATCACTCGATAAGTGAGTCACTCGTTAAGTGAGTCACGCGTTAAGTGAGTCACTCGTTAAGTGAGTCACTCGTTAAGTGAATCACTCGTTAAGTGAATCACTCGTTAAGTGAGTCACTCGTTAAGTGAATCACTCGTTAAGTGAATCACTCGTTAAGTGAGTCACTCGTTAAGTGAGTCACTCGTTAAGTGAATCATTCGTTAAGTGAGTCACTCGTTAAGTGAATTACTCGTTAAGTGAGTCATCCGTTAAGTGAATTACTCGTTAAGTGAATTACTCGTTAAGTGAGTCACTCGTTAAGTGAATTACTCGTTAAGTGAGTCACTCGTTAAGTGAATCACTCGTTAAGTGAATCACTCGTTAAGTGAGTCACTCGTTAAGTGAGTCGCTCGTTAAGTGAGTCGCTCGTTAAGTGAGTCGCTCGTTAAGTGAGTCACTCGTTAAGTGAGCCACTCGTTAAGTGAGTCACTCGTTAAGTGAGTCACTCGTTAAGTGAATCACTCGTTAAGTGAATCACTCGTTAGGTGAATCACTCGTTAAGTGAATCACTCGTTAAGTGAGTCACTCGTTAAGTGAGTCACTCGTTAAGTGAGTCACTCGTTAAGTGAATCACTCGTTAAGTGAGTCACTCGTTAAGTTAATCACTCTTTAAGTGAGTCACTCGTTAAGTGAATCACTCGTTAAGTGAGTCACTCGTTAAGTTAATCACTCGTTAAGTGAATCACTCGTTAAGTGAGTCACTCGTTAAGTGAATCACTCGTTAAGTGACTCACTCGTTAAGTGAATCACTCGTTAAGTGGATCACTCGTTAAGTGAATCACTCGTTAAGTGAATCACTCGTTAAGTGAGTCGCTCGTTAAGCAAGTCGCTCGTTAAGTGAGTCGCTCGTTAAGTGAGTCACTCGTTAAGTGAGTCACTCGTTAAGTGAATCATTCGTTAAGTGAGTTACTCGTTAAGTGAATCACTCGTTAAGTGAATCACTCGTTAAGTGAGTCACTCGTTAAGTGAATCACTCGTTAAGTGAATCACTCGTTAAGTGAGTCACTCGTTAAGTGAGTCGCTCGTTAAGTGAGTCGCTCGTTAAGTGAGTCGCTCGTTAAGTGAGTCGCTCGTTAAGTGAGTCACTCGTTAAGTGAGTCACTCGTTAAGTGAATCACTCGTTAAGTGAGTCATTCGTTAAGTGAGTCACTCGTTAAGTGAATCACTCGTTAAGTGAATCACTCGTTAAGTGAATCACTCGTTAAGTGAATCACTCGTTAAGTGATTCACTCGTTAAGTGAGTCACTCGTTAAGTGAATCACTCGTTAAGTGAATCACTCGTTAAGTGAGTCACTCGTTAACTGAGTCACTCGTTAAGTGAGTCACTCGTTAAGTGAGTCACTCGTTAAGTGAATCACTCGTTAAGTGAGTCACTCGTTAAGTGAATCACTCGTTAAGTGAGTCACTCGTTAAGTGAATCACTCGTTAAGTGAGTCACTCGTTAAGTGAGTCACTCGTTAAGTGAGTCACTCGTTAAGTGAATCACTCGTTAAGTGAATCACTCGTTAAGTGAGTCACTCGTTAAGTGAGTCACTCGTTAAGTGAGTCACTCGTTATTTGAATCACTCGTTAAGTGACTTACTCGTTAAGTGAATCACTCGTTAAGTGAATCACTCGTTAAGTGAGTCACTCGTTAAGTGAATCACTCGTTAAGTGAGTCACTCGTTAAGTGAGTCACTCG